ATATGTTGGTTGTAAAGATACTAAATCCATCAAGATAAATTGGTCAATGGTGAACAAATTGACCAATTTAATTTAGTGTAAAGCAATACATCTTAAGAAAATAAGCAAAGTATCCAAAAACATTCAACAATATGGAAATGAAGCACAGTAAAGATCAGATTGCAAATGCTATGCTATGTGATTGTTATAGAGAAAGAAAATTAAAATCGTGATTATTTACCTTTTTGGATGTGTTCACTTTTCAGGACTGAACGAGATGCAACAAACTGGTCGTCAGACAAATTAAAATCCCTCCTCCTCGGTTTGATCGTGGAGAACGAGGAGGGGAGCTGTGAGGTGACAGAAGTCGCCAAGGTGGAAGGAGAGGCCTCCATTAACAACCGTAAAGGAAAACTCATTTTCTTTTATGAATGGAACCTGAAAGCTACTTGGACTGGTGAGTAGGAGACTGAAGCTGCTGTTGTTTTGCGGTAAAATATATTAGCATAAAATGGATTGCTGGATGAATACACAGGAAATAACTATGCGTGCATAAAGCAGTGATTCTTTTCGGTGTAGTTTTGACCACTTTCTAATTTTGGCTGGTAAATGCTTCTTAAAATAGAAACCACAGCTAGTAGAGGACAGTAACAGTTGAACAAAAAGAAGTGTTACTCTGTTGTTATTTTTAAAGAAAGCTGAATAAAGAGGCTTCAAGACAACTGTATTCTTTTATTTTCCCAGGAGTGTCAAAAGCAGGAGTCAAGTATACAGGATCCATTGATGTCCCAAACCTTTCGGACGAGAACGACATGGAGGATCTGGATGTAAGTTTCACCAAAGAGTTTGTGTGTAGTGTTTTCAACCGACTGCATGTTGTAGGAACAGCGTTTTGAAATCCCACCTTTTGATCTTTGTGCAGATCTCTGTGTCGTTGAATAAAGATGAACCTGAAACACCCCTCACCAAGCTGATGAGGACAAAAGGAGCTGACAATATCCGCCAGGTCCTGGGAAGCTACGTTGGTTACTTGAAAACAGGTGAGTGAAACCATTCTGTAATTTAAAGGAATACAGTGATGGTAATTCAAACAAAATGGTTCACTCACCACACAAACTGACACACAGGATCACTAATCTACAACGGTGGACCTCAAAAAAAAATATCACTGGGTGTCCGCGGGGTCTTAAAAAGTATTAAAAGTTGATAAATCAATTTAATGAAAATGAAGGCTATTCAAAAGTATTAAACGGCATTTTCCAAGGTGTTACATTTTGTAGCTTGTTTTCAATAATTATATCAATTGTCCAAATAGGTTGTGTTCTACAGTCTGCCTGAATGTAATCATTGCGTAGGTGTGTAGTGTGATTCTGTGTAGTTTATTTATGGCATCCCGTTGGATTTGACGTCATCTGAACAGGAGACCGCACGCTCACTGACTGATCCGTTTACGCCGGTTGTTAAACAACATCGTTATGGGGAAATGCAAGTTTGCGTCCAAATGGTTGGAAGATAAGGAGGAAGGACAATCAATACTGTATATAGTAAATGTGAGGTAAAGTGTGTCACCAATGTAACCGGTTAGAACTCAAAGTGGCGATGAGGTCTTAAAATGTATGGAAAGGGTCTTAAAAAAGGTCTTAAAAGGTTTTACATTTGACTTCAGGATTCCTGCGTATACCCTGGTTCTGTACCAACGGCCAAATGATCCTGGTTTCTGTTGTAGTTATCCAGATGGGTGTACTAAGAATTGAGTTTAACGGTTTAGCAAAGTAATNGACAGCGATGACAGTTTAATTTTGAACGTGTCTGAGAGCTCATATGAGGCTGAAGGATCGGTTTATGTTGTATCTGTTAGAAGTTTAGGAATTAGGTGCGTCAATATGGGCGATAATACGGTCATGTAGCCAGTGGTGGACTGGGACTAAAAATCATCCCGGGACTCTCGACCGGCCCACTTCAGTACCGCTAGTAAATTGTCAATGGGGGGAGTGGGGGATGTGCTAGTGACTTATCCGACCGGATCCCGATGGCCAGTCCGCCACTGCACCCAGCCCGGCCCACGTAAACTGTCAACAGGGGGAGCCTCGCTGCGGGGAAACGGTGGACCTGTCCCGATCGGAGTGGGAATAATAATAATAATACGTGCATTTTATCCATTAATTTCCCCAACATTGTGGTAAAAAAAACACACGTTTAATCCATGTTGGTGTACTACAACTACAAAAAGCATCGGTTTGTTTTCTCATCAGGAAATGCAGACCGGCTCAAACAAAACATTTTTAAATCATCATCCTCACGATCATTTAATGTATCATATTTTCGCCGAATTGACATGAAAGCACTAATAAATGTAGTTTCATCCACTTGAGTTTACAACTACAAAAATAATCGATTTTGTTTTTATATCACATCCGACGGGAGGAAATTCAGCAGCTCTCACTACCGATTTTTAATCCTAATTTAATCATCATCTTCACCACGATCATTTATGTGTATGTTCGCCGAATTGACATGAAAGCACTGACAAATATGAATATACTGTAGTCAACTTCATTAAAACCCCCAAAACTTCTAAATGAGTCGAAGGAATTTCCCCCCGATGTTCGAAATTATTGATATTTATCGGAACGGTATCGCACCTTCTTTTTTAAACTGACGGTTCGAGATGACTAGTAGCCCAATATTTCATTGCACAACAGTTGTTGGGAGGCTGTCACAGGCTCTTTAAAGTCTACATTTTCTTGGAACATTTCTCTGCCTTAATGACCGTTACACGCCTTCATAGTTTTTTGTCTCATTAATATTCACATCTTTGGGGTATTCACAATGTTTACCTTTAATTTTATATATTTTAACAGAGTTTTTCAAATGTCATATTTCACATTTGGGTTAACAAAGATACGTGTAAAAACAGAATAAAAAATGGTTATGTAGAAAATGTTAATATGAGACAAGTTTTAGATATAAGTATTTTGTACTGATTATTTAAACTGAAATACTTTTTCTTTGATGCTTTAAAAAAAGGTTTAAGCTGATTTTGTTTCATTTTTTTATTTCAGAGTTCACACAGGGAATGATCCTGCCTACAGCCAACGGTATGGCCAAGACCACAACATCGCAGTCCAAAGCCAAGCTGAATAAAACTCAGGTGCGTAAATTACCAAAGATCCTCAGCCACATCTTACATTATCCCACACAGCTCCTCCTGTCCCTAAATGATTTACTGTTGGTTATACACCATCGCAGCACTGATCCTCCCTCACCACACTTTCTTTTTTCTTCTTGTGGAACAGATTTCCTCCTCAGGCAGCACAGTTGCTCCGATCAACACCGGCGTCAAGATCCCCACCTGCAAGTTCAGCATGAGGGAAAAGTTCCTCACCTCCCCGGCTGATCTCTACAGGGTCTTCCTCAACCAGGATGTAAGCTTCCTCTCCATATCTGACTCTTGAGTGCACATTCATCTCACAGATGGTTCGAAGAATAAGCCAGCAAATGCACATTTAGATTGAAGTGTTTATCTTATGCATCTGCAGATGGTTCAGGCGTTCACACACGCTCCAGCGTCAGTGGACGGAGAGAAAGGCGGAAAGTTTCGTCTGCTAGATGGAAATGTTTTCGGTGAATTCACAGATCTGGTAAGACAACCTTTAAACCAAGCTAAGCATTAAATAACAATCAATACATACTACGTTTGTGTGAACAGCTAGTGAAATGAACAACGTCTCAGGTTTTTTTTTATTGCTGTGGGTATAAAGGAATTCTGTAAAAAATGTTCTTGCAATTGCATTTCTAGTAACAATTTAGGTGTGATGATAAGAGTGGGTTTTTGCTTGATTTTCACTTTTAGTAAATATGCAATTTGTTATTGTTGCTATTTTACCCTTTAACATTAACAATGAATCCTCTCCACCAGGTTCCTGATGAGAAAATAGTTATGAAGTGGAGGTATAACAACTGGCCTGCTGGTACGTTCATTTATACATTTTCATTTATATTCTAAGAGCCGATTTGACACAAATGTTTTTGTCTTGCATTAGAAATGATTGTGTATAAAAGTGTAAACTTTATCTACTCAAACACACCATATGTTTTATATATCATTATATTTGGGGAAACAATGTAGCTAGTACGAATTAGTCGATTACCTTTCTTGAAAAATAGTTTTTAGCTTTCTTTTACAAATGTAAAAATATTTAGCTTCTTTCAGTAAACAAAACATCATCATGTTATTATGAGATGCATCATGATCATTTAAGTAAACTCATAATCAACAGTTCCTAACGAACAAAGTACTTAAACTCTGCAGGTAAGAAATTGACTGCAGAATCTTTGAATCGGGAATATTATTTGGGGGGGAAATAGAAATGTGTTGCATTTTGGGGCTTATTTTTCGGGTGTTTTTACCCAACAGAGCATTACTCTACGATCTCCATGACGTTCAAGGACCGCAGCAGCGAGACGGAGCTGAAGGTGGACTGTCGAGGCGTCCCCGACAACGAGGAGGACCGCACGAAAGAGGGCTGGAAGAGATACTACTTTGAAGCTATTAAACAGACTTTTGGCTTCGGATCTCGACTCTACTGAAGACGTTTCAACTGTAGTCTACGGTTTCTTTTCCTCCTCAATTTTGAAATTTTGAAAAACTTCTTGTCCTGTGATCTCTCTGGCACAAGAGGTCCCATTGTAAACTCTGAAGAACGAGTTAAAGAGAAGAGATAATGAGGTGAGGCCGTTCTGTCACTCGTCTGTGTAAATGTTTTAATTTCTTTCAACGTATTTTTAAGTCTAGATATCTCCCGGTCAGTGTTTGGGTCAGTTCAAAGGAGAGGGATTCATGGACTGTGCCTTGGAGACTCTGGATTGAATAAAGCAAAATATGAATCTATTGAACCACTAATGCAAATTGGCCTCCAAGTCTATAAATATGTAATTACTGCAAGACAGAAAATAAATGTTAGGATTTTCTTTTACTTGAAAAAAATAAAATGCTTTTTTAAATACATATTTTACTCTTCAAGTGTAACTGTAGTGAAGATGCATGTTTTATTTAAGACAGACGGAGGAATGACTACTGGATTTGAATTTACTGAAATGTGTCACTGAGCTAAGCAGAACTTTACCTTTCTGGTATTTCATTGAAAAGTCATCACAGGATCAACTGGGAGCTTCAGCAGAGACGTCAGCGCAAATCATTTAAAGTATTGGAAAATGAAATCAGGTTCCTCTCTTCATGCAGCTAGCTAGCATAGCAACTCAAGAGAGAAGTATTGCTGTATTTGGCTTAAAAAATGTCAATTTCCAGTAAAGTTTTCAGAACGAAGTGCGTCTATTTATTCATCATTTCACCTCACAATGTATAACGATTAGTTTCTTGGAATAAACCAATCTCTGTATGCTCTTGTTTTGTTTTTATTTAACTTTCACATTAAATCACAGAAGTTATTCATTTACAATTTGACTTCACATGCAAAGATACGGAGCCCCAAGGAAACGTGAGCAAGAAACCATTTGTGTGAGCCTTATGGGCTCGCTCTCTTTAAAACGTTAATTTACAAGTGCTTTAAAAGTTAAACGCTCACAGTAGGAACCATGAAGGTCACTGTTTGGCAAAATAAGCACTTCAGTTTTAAAGGCAGCTGCATAAAATGGTAAGGGAAACTGGGATTTAAAGCACAGTCATATAGCGTAACACCATGTGAATTCAACTTATAAACAAAGCAAATGGCATGAAAAACATAGGATTTAAAAGTCTGATGTTATTTAAATGGCATAATACATTCATTATACCTTAATGTTAACTTACACAGAGCATTCAACTTCTTCCTGTCCTCCTAGCATATCTGCTACAAACAAAAAGGGAACAGGCTTCATTACAAAACACCATAAATAGATATATATTTTCAAAAACAAAACAAAAAGAACCCCAAACTGTACATTAGCAGCCAAAGGTCTAAAGTATTAACCAACTTAAATGTTTTCCCCCCTAAACTGAAAAGAAAATTAGATTTTGTTCCATAGTTATTACCCACACGTTAACCTGGACAAGCAGCGTTTAAATAAAAAAAAAAATTTAAATAAAAGAAACATGATGAAAGGATGCTGGAAGTTGACGGCACCTTCCTCTGGTTGTTCGCTCAAAGGCAGATGTAAAGCTCTGACTCCTGCAGGAAGAAAGAGACACATCTTTTGAACACAAATCGGCAGGGCCGTGGGAAGTAGGGGTGCTGAGGGTGCTGCAGCACCCCCTGGTGGAGGACAGGGGATCTGCACTTCCACAAGATTAAATACAAATATAATACAAAAAAGATGAATTTTCAGCCTTGATGTAACAACATTCATAATTAAGTAAAGATAACACCCTTTTCACCCCGGTTACATTTTCCATTTGCCCTGTACGATGGGCGCTGTAAGTGATGAAAGTGGGGGATTTTGACTTATCAGGCGCCCGCAGCTCACAGCCAGCGTGAGAGAGAGAGAGAGAGAGATAGATAGATAGAGAGAAGGGGTGTACCGGTACCGGCGGGGAATGTTGTTAGCTTCTGCTGCGCTAACGGATATAAGAAGCTGTTTCTACAATAATGTGGAGGGAGAGCTCTCCTGTCAGACTGAGAGGCTCAGTGAGGTAAAGGACTCTGAGTGTTTAGATAGTTCACTTTAGTCTAAATTATCTCAGTGGGTCTCAAACGTTTTGATCACAATTTATGTAAACAAATATTTCCAAAGCACTCCTTTATAATTATTAGGATAAATAAAAACAGGTTTCAAATCATTCTAATGTATACTATAGGACAGTAAACCAAAAATATTGTTTAAAACTGGAGATATTTAAAAATATGCATAAATAAATAAATGTTAACTGATAAAATAAGATATAAATGAACCACAAAAATAAAACAAGTTAGCCTACATTTATTTGTTATTGGCTATGGTAGGTTATTGGATATGTTCACATACTTATTTGATTATTAAAATGCAAACCGATCTTTTTCATATGGGTGTTTTAGAGTTGTATCCCCTAGATCAGTCTCTAGTTTGGGTGCTCAAAGTGCACCAGATTGAAGCATTTTACTTTAAAATGTAAAAAAAATCTTCGCGGGGGGATACCCCCGGACCCCCCTAGAGGATGTGACGTCCACCCCCCAATTAAAACATGTTCATGCAATACTAAATACATTTGAAGCCTTTTTATATAAGCTGTCCACCATATCAATACGTTTCTCTGTTTGTAGTGTATTGGTCTTTTGTAGAGGTTTTTCATTGCCAGCTAAAATCTTGCCTAGGGCCAAATTGGTCAAAACCGGCCCTGGTGTCATCCCCACAGCACCCCCCATTTAAAACATGTTCCCACGGCTATGCAAATCGGACCAAATCAAATGGGTTAACACTGGATCTGTTTTTTTATTAGCTTATTATAGCAAGAATAAACTCTTTTAGTCCAAAGAACAACCTGACCTTTTCTTCTGATTGCAAAGGACATTTTTACCAAAGTTTAGGAAATAATCAAAAAATAGAAAAGCTTTTTTTCTGGAGTGTAATGAACATTCCCTCCTCATGGGGTCACTATTGTGACATAGCTTCATAGTCTTTTTGGCACACAACAGTACACCAAGACCTGCCTTTGTATATATGTCATGCTTTAATTTGGGGTATTCAAAAACAAGCAACGGGAGATCATCATCAGTCATTTGTTTGTACAGTAAGAAGCGTATACGTACACTGGAGCTGGAGTCGTTGTCCAGTGAGCCCAGGTTTCGCCGTGGCACCATTTCTACCACTTCAGGCGGTTTTTGAACCTGAATTTCATGCATTTTTGACCTGGGAAGAATATCATGAAACATATAAATTAGAGCTGAAGCATTTTGTCAACTAACCAGATGGCCAATAAACTGAAAAATGTATTCTTTCAATAATTATTCAAGCAAAAAATAAAAAAAATAAAGTTTTAGTTTAGTTCCAATATAGTTTCAATATTCAGTATTTATAAACACAAGAAAAAATAATTCACTCAATAGAACATATTTAATACAAATTATTATTAAATGTTATTATTTCATAACTTTATTTCTACGCACAATATTTCATTGTTACTAAACCTTCTTTTAATGCTTCTAAAAGTCCTAATAATAATAATAATAATAATAATAAGGTTAATGAAAATCTGTTGACTAAATGCAGAAACACTAGCTATGCCAAAAGGACATCAGGTCACACGTTTCACCACCCAAACAGTCTGTGATGTTTGAAGTTAAGAATTATAAGGTCTGATAATAATAACTCCAGTGTCCACCTGTACAGCGGCCACAGGGTCAGACCTCTGGCGTCTTTCTGTGCGGCAGACGAGGGTCGCTCCGCCAGATCTATGAGGAAGTGGAAGAGCTTCTCCGACTCTATGCACTGCTTCCTACACAGAAACATGATCAATTGATTATCCTCATATACACCATTCTCAATTTATATCTTGGGACAATTTAAGAAGATTAAACACAGATGTTTTCCTTTGTTTTAAGTCCAAAAGTGTGTAGTTTAATATTGACCTGATATTTGTGGAGTTGTGGTTTACTCACATGTGAGCAACAGACACGACGCAGCTGTTCTTGGACTGAGTGATCAGACAGATTTTGGTCAGCAGAGACTTCAGGAACATTTCCAGCGCTCGAGCTGATCTCTGACATTCAGGACTTTAAAAACATCAACATATTTCTACATACAATTCAAATACATTCTCAAAATATTGAAGTGACTTATTTTGTACATATTAATTGTTGTGTTTTTATGATTTAGGCCTTAATGTATGCACATGTCAAAATGTGTCTTTGACTGTGTATATATATTATTTGCACATAGGTTTTTATATTTTAATATACATTTGTTTTTATATTCGGGATTGTGGGAAACGGTATTTCGATCTCTCTGTCTGTACACACAAACTGGAAGATTGACAATAAAGTTGGCTTTGTAGACACTAGTATTTATAGCCTAAAACAGATTGAATCATCGGCAAGAATATTTTTAGTATTCTTAATTTACACATTTTGATTTAGTCTTCATTCAACAATATAACAAATATAACTAGAAAGTAAAGCTGCCAAACAATGTAGTAATCTTAAGTAAAGCATTACATTGAAATATTCAAGAACAAGTGCTTTAACGTTGTACTTAATTACTTCACACCACTGCTAGTCAAAAGGTTTTGCATGCTATGTGTCCGTAAACCCTAAAGAAGAAGTTAAAGGAAAACAGATTGGTGGAAATAAAGTGATGCATAATAATACATACTCACAGCTAATCCACCACATCTGAAAGTGTAAAAAGATACAGATTAACACAGGAACTGCCATCGCAATCCTCCCCACCTCTGCGTCCTTCTGCATGATCTTCTTGATGCGACTCTGTGAGCAGAAACAAAGACCTTTAGGACACTTTCAGAGAAATTATATAAACCCCTGTTTCCTGTATCTGAGGTTGTACATCAGACAGCATGTAAAGCAGAACTTAATTTGGCATTCAGAATGTTTTATTTGCTAGCATGTGACACTTTTGATGTTACGGAATCTGCACCTGTGTTAAACATAACATAAAATACATATCAACTAATATTCAATATACCCAAGGTAAAAAAACAACAGAAAACACAAGAAGAGAGACAAATATGGAGCAATTTCTGTTTCTGATAAAAGTTATTTACAATCAAAAGTGTTATAGTAAAGCAACAAAATTGCTAATATTACTTATTTTACTTTTACTTTCATCAGCCTCTCAATTCATTTGCTTTTTTATACAGGTTAAACGTGCCATTTTGTGTTGTCTAAACAATACCAGAACTGAAAATAACGTACATCAATTACTCCATCATATTATTGTTCTTATGAAGGCTTACATTGTTTACTAAGCTTCTGTCTTGTGTATAATCCAAATTTCACTCGGGTAATATTGAACATGACAATTGACAGTCTTAGTGTTTACGACGTTTAACCCAGATTTCCGGCATCACCTGAACGTTGCGCCCAGCACTTCATGCTACATGAACGCGGCTAATCATTTTTATATTGAACTTTTAACATCTTTAAACTCTAAAATAAAGTTTGTACTCACAGGAGGGAATCGTACATTATATCTTCTCTTCTGTCCGGGCATTTTACTCGCTTTAAACCGCGCAGTTCGGTCAAATTTTTCATGTTTTCACCGCAAACCGCCGCTGAGTCCATTTGTTTACCTTCAGCAGGAATTTACCTGAAAAACAAGCGAACACCTGAGGTCAACCCCGCGTGACCCCGATAATGACGTCACGACCTCCGCGTTTTTTTCTCTTATGCCGCGTTCACACCGGTTAGGTTATTCATTAATACATATTTATAAACAATGATTTAAAGGTAACATAACTACATAGTGTTTAAAGCCCATCAGATAAGTGCATTTAACGTTTTCTTCTGATATTTACGTTTAATTTAACCCTCTTTGATTTTAGAGTAGCTAGTATAACAGTTATACTATTTACCAGAGCTAGAAGAAGTACTCAGATAATTCACTTGGGTAAAATAACATTAAAACAGTGTAAAAATACTCTGTTAATGAAAAATAGTCACTTTCTATCACAGGTTGCAGGAGCAAGACTGGAAAGAAATTAAATATTGCCTATCCTGTCCAAAGATCCAACTAATACGCTTTTTATGTGGGTTTTAGTAGCATATTATGGTCTGAATCAGGAAATGGACTTTGCTGTTGAACGTGTGGGAAAAAGATAGCAAGTGGAGCTTCAAGTGGTGTCTTGTTCATCATTTACACTTGACTTGGTGATTTCTCTTCAAATGGACTTCATCTGAATAAGGGATGTATTTTAAATCGCTCCAAAGGAACTTAAAACAAATACCTTTTATTCATTTGAGTACACTGTTTTATTTCCAACGTGTCTTATTTATTTGTTTGATCCCTCTAAATCCTGTAAGTATCTTACTCCTGGTTCAACTTTGTCTGCAATTATAAATCGATTATCCGCAGTATAGGACTCGGCCTAATGACTTCAAAGGTCAAAGATAACGTTAATCAGTCTTCATTTACCGAGGGTTTTTGTATCGATAAAGCTTCATACCCGGAGGACGACTTTATTTTATTTAAAATCTGCTTTTCAATTTGGACAAGAGAAGATGTTGACAACACGTGTGCTGTTTGCAGTCTGTTTAGTAGCAGCATGTCGTGTAGATGGTGACTGTCAAACTATATGAGCGTGAAAGGAAACACACAAAGTTTCTACTAAAAACAACTCATCTTTTACAGAGTGGATTTTAACCAGTTTATCTGCAGTTTATTCAACATGTATTTATACTTTTTTCTTGTTTCTTGCAGGCTACACTTTAAAGGAAGAAGATGAACCTTTCCATCAGGTATTGTCTCCATCTTGTTATTTAACTCTGTATATTTACCTGTCTAAGTATACAAATCAATACTGAAACTGAAATATGCGATGACAAAATGGTATTATTCTACTTAAAATCTCCAATTTACTCAATTAAGTGAGTTACATTCATTGAATTCATTATTTAACACATGATGTATGAGTTATCTTTATTAGTAGAGAACAAGTTTCTCAAAGGTGACAAATATCTCCATGTTACATCTTTTTTTTAAATGAAAACAAAACCTACAGAACATATTTTTTCTCTGCAGGATGTTTTTGGAACAGATTTCCTCCGCCAGCCTCTTCATCCTCCCTTCATCTGTCCTGATATGACTCCGTCTCCCAGCGTCCCCACCTCAGGTGAGGGTCCCCTGAGTTACTAAGTACTTTAACTCTAGTAATGTACTCTGGTTTGTCACTTCAATTGCATTTAACAACTATATCATTATTAACATAAGACTTTATGGATACTTCTTTCACCAACATGTCAATGCTTGGAAGGTCTTAAATACCTTTAATGTAAGTACAAAGAAGAAGTGGTTACAACTTTGATTTACAAATGTCTTTTTTAATCCTTTTATGATTATTGAAACGTTTGTGTGAGATCAAATGTGTGCAGATGCAAAATGAAGGCATTTGAGAAATATGGGATATTTTACTGAGATATTCTGCTTGAACATTGAGTGTGCCTTTTAATATCGCTGTAATATACCCTGTTCAAGGTTATCAGAGCTCTCAAACATGTGTATATGTTTTGAGTTTTATTGTTTTATTTTCTTTCTAGTTGAATATGTCAAAGCTGCAGATGTCAAAGTCATCGCCGCACTGGGAGACTCTTTAACTGTGAGTGAAGTACTGCTTTCAAAAAGTTACTGATGTCAAAGTATAAGAATCGCAATTAAAGTAGAAAAAGTCAAAGTAAACGTTATTCAGCCCATTTCAGAAACATATAATAATATGGTGTAATTGTTGTCATATGTGTTGCCACTAATAAAAGAGGAGCTTATTGTTTTTGAGATACTGTTGTGAAGCTTGTAAATGTCACAAGGGATCAATTAAGTCTCATCTTTATCATAATAACATATCATAACTTCTTTGTTGGTTATATTTGTATTTATTTATCTTATTTGTTTTCTGTTGTTAAATCGAATATTCTTTTTAGGTGTACTTTCAGGTTCATTTGGGACAAAACATCACATTTTAAAAGTTCTTTGATAGTTTTGGTTGTAACGATCCAAATTTGTGAAAGTGAATAAAGGTAAAAAACTAACTGTAGAAGAGTAAAAAGCACAACCTTAAAGTGCTCAAGTAAAGGATATCAAAATTGTACTTAGTGTAAATGTAACTAGTGTTACACTCACAGTTACAAACCTCTGTTATTGTTATTGAATAATATTAGTAGTAATGAAGACTTCTCTGCTTTTAAAATATTGCCTGTATGTTTTTTTCTTGCAGACAGCTATTGGTGCCAATGGCTCTACGATTTTATCCATACCTTTTGAATTTCGCCACGTATCTTGGAGGTAAATCAGCGCCACGGCTCCAAATGAATACTCTGTAGGATATTATTTATAAAACATTAAAAGACTCAAACTATCCTCTGAATATCAGCTGTCTGTAAATCAGAGGATTTATAACAGTAGCCAGTTTTAAAAGGTGCTAATCGATTGATTGATCGATTGATTGATTGATTGATTGATTGATTGATTGATTGATGATTTATTTACCATTATCTTATCTCTCCAGTCACATTGTAAGTGCTGTTATGATTATGTATGTTTTATTGGTCTGATTCTATTCATTGCAATCTGTGTCTCTTTCTGTTTTAGCATCGGAGGATATGGGACGTATCAAAATGTCATCACACTGGCCAGTAAGTAATTTAATGTCCAAAAAATAACCAAGAAGTGAAAAATGATCAAGACCTAACACTGTAAGAAAATATAATTCAGTGTTAATTAAATGTATAAATATATATTTAAAGTCCAGCCCAGTGTTAACACATCTCAATCAAAACAAAAGATTGAATGAAAATGAACTTCAAAACAAAACAAAAATCACCTGCAACAATTATTTTAAAGCTGAACTTTAGATAATTTGTGACTGAAATAACAGTGAAACTTAAACTTATGGAAGACATGGCTTTGATCTATGTTTTTATGTCTCGGTAAAATATTTGAAGTATTATTTGATCAAATCCACGGACCCTCGCTTCTTTACTCAGGTCTTTATTTTTAATGTTTGATTGTCTTATTGTCTAGATATTTTCAAACTGTTCAGCCCCGAGCTGCTGGGTCCGTCCCCGGTTCGGATGCTCCACGGTCAGCCGGCGACCGTCAACGAGACCGGGTTCAACTTCGCCGTCACCGGACACAACACACTGTGAGACAAACACACTCTTTATTTATTATTTATTTACTTAATTGTATTTATTTATATTTTACTTATTTTTATTTATTTATTAATTTTTATTCATTTATTTACTTATTTGTATTTATTTATTTCAAAAAACATTTCCTTAATGTAAGGAAAATAAGGAAATAAATGAATACAAATGAAGAAATAAATAAAAATAAGTAAAAGATAAATAAATACAATTAAGTAAATAAATAATAAATACAAATAAGTAAAAAATAGAGAGATGTTTTTTTTAAATTATAATTAGGCATTTTTCCATCCAAATTATTATTATGGAGGCGTTTTGTTTTCATTGCTCTGGCTTCTTCCCAATTTTTTTGTTAAACTTTATTTTACATTTACATGTGTGCTTCTGTAAGGTAACTGTAGGCTATGTGGAGCTTCAAACTGTCAAAGGAGTATTTGGACATTTTGGGGGTGATTTATAAAACAATTTTAAAAGACCAGTTAAAGACAAAATCGCTGTAGCTTAAGAAAACACAAACCAGACTTGTATAAAATATGATGGAGTAAATTGTGAACTAAAGTACATCATTAAAACCAATAAAATATAATTCTTTATAATGCAAATGTAGGAATCTTCAGTAAGGAGACACTGAATGTCCTCTTAATGCCTTCAAAAGTAGGGTAGGTAAGAATGGAGAAACCAGCTCAAGTGCGCTGGAATTTGAAAGTACACAACCGGAACAAATCTGCCACTTCCTTCAGACTTCCTTAAAGAGCTCCTCCTCCAACACACACGAACGCGCACATGACCAATGAGGGCACGAGATAAGCTTGTGCACAGAGGAAGGCTGACAGGCAGGTAGGCCATCCAGTTATCTGCCCCGGGCCGAGGCAGATGATTGGTCATGCTTTTTACAGCGCCACGGCTTCCACAGATGAAATATTTGTATATGTTTATTGTCAAAGCATTTCATGTAGTCATTGCTATCGGGATGTTAAGAGCATTCCATGGAATATAATGGAAAGTGTTTCTGAAGTGAATTACCTACCCTATCTTTAAGTTCAAAGATCATAATATTTAGTTGTAAATGATTTGATAATTTGTTATTGATGTTGTGACTCATGTTTGTTCTTCTACAGAAACGTCTCTGATCAGATAAGACACATGATCGACACGTTCAAGTCCTATCCCGTAAATCTCATCTCCCTCTGCTCATTACATGATTCATAATCTTAATTCAAACTTTATTTATGTGACGTTCAACATCAACTCTCCTTCTTCAGGGTCTGAACTTTGAAGAGGACTGGAAGGTGGTGACGATGATGATCGGCATGAACGACATCTGTGATTACTGTAAAGACAAAGTAGGGGTGTTTTATTTGAGTAAAAAGTCTGTATTGTATTTGTTTTGCTTATTCAAAATCAAGCTAGAGGAAGTGAATTGAATTGGAGATAAAAAATAAAACCCTCACAATTTTCCAAATTAAATTCCTACATTTATGGGTTCATTTTTTACGAAAATCCCACAAATTAAACAAATCCCACAAATTAAACAGATTATTTTAAATGTAAAAAACAAAGGAAAGAAAATATGTTTTTAAATCAGGAATCCACATCATTTTACAAATAAATTAGTTTTTTGTTATAAATGTGTGTCTTTATAATTTAAGGATATTTTCTTGTACATTTCTGAGTTTTCCTTCTGCAAATGTACAGTTTAAATCTGAGAGAATATCAGATTTGAAAGATATCAGACTATATATCTGAGCCTCCTCTCCCCTCTCCACAGACTCTGTTCTCCCCCGACAGATTCACTCACCACATGACAGAAGCTCTGGACATGATGATGAAGGAGGTGAGATTTTATGAAGTACCTCAAAACAGTTCTAAAATATATTACCTGACTAAAAATGCATAATTACTTCACCCATCACCACTCAATGCTCACATCATCATACTTAAATTATGCATGTGGTATCCTCATTTTCATATTTTCCCTTTGTTTGTTATAAAGATATGACTTTGTGTTTGGATTGAGGTTCCCATCCTTTGTGCGGACCTGGTGCAGTACGTGGCTTAAGATAGAAACAAATAAAATAGGGTTCAACTCAAACAACTAAGAGATTATTCCTTTTTTTTTTACAGTGATGTACAGTGATGTAGAAATACTATAGTAAAGAAAAATGTGCTGCCATTTTTAACTGAAATCTAAGGTTTCATTTTGTGTAACTGAGGTATATTGACCATACTTTAAAAGTAAAACGTGTGGTTATGAGGTTGAATGAAGTTGGCTTAAGAGGTACAACCAATATTTGTGTGATAATATATGCTTTATTAACAGTCAAACCAGGACAAAAGTTGCACAAATGTTAAAGCATTAACCTCAGTGCATATGCATACATGTGAAATGTTCCCCTCCCCTTTTGCTTTTTGGGAACAGTTTGTCCTTTCTACCTCTATCCTACTGAAACTATAAAGAAAGAGAGGACATGCAGATATTTTAAAAGTACACTCTTTAGTCTTTACTTTGATTTTAGTGGTAAATGTTTTTGTTCTGGTTTCAGATCCCCAGGACGATCGTCAACGTGGTGCAGATTTTCCCCATGAAGCGTCTCAGAGACGTCCAGAGGCCGACGCTCGGCTGTCAGCTGCAAAAGTTACCTCTGCTTTTTAATAATCTGTTAATATAAACCCCTGCAGGATCTAGCTATTGCCAACAGAATATCTTAAAATAAAGATATATATTTACTCAAATACTAAATCCTGTTGTACAGTGAGGGTTTTTTATTTGCCCTGCCTTATGTCTGTGTCCAAATCTCTGAGGATTACAAATCATAATTGATCTGATAATCTTTTAATCTGATAATCTGATGTTCTGCTCTCAGGAGTTTCTGCTCGTGTCTCGTCCAACCTGAAGAAAACTCCCCTGATCTGAAGGAGCTGGTCGAGGTTAACTACGAATTTCAGGTGAGAGAAAATGTTCTGCCTGAAACGCCTCCATTGGACTTCTTTGTTTATTTCCAACACTTACTGACATCACTATGTAACACTCATGCTCCTATTGGCTAGTGCTTCAACACCTTGTACGTGAGAGGCTAAGGGGCGGGACATCTCTAAGCAGTTGACCAATCACAACAGAGCCGGCCAGCCAATCAGAGCAGACTGGGCTCTGGTTTCAGACAGAGGGTGAAAATAGGTGCTGCAGCACAGGCAGTATGAGAACAATAAAGAGCTTTTTGAACCTTCATGGAGACATGTCCCAGTAGAGACACAACATACTGATATGAACCTGAAAAGGAGCATAACTTGTCCTCAAGTTCTTTTTGATATTTTGACAAATAGTGATTCTTCAGAATAATTACTTGTACTGTAATAATAATTCATAAAAATGTGGGCTGTTTTTATAAATATGTGTATTTAATTGAGTAGAGTTATGTACTCCCCAAAAGGATTGAACAGCTTTATGATGCACAGTTACAACAAAGAAACCCGGTGTAGATGTCGTGCTATCAGGCAGTAAAACTCTGAGGTGATTTGGACCTCCGTTCTTTACAGAGGAGATTAGAGAAGCTTCTGCACGGCGAGCGTTTCTTCAAAAAGGACTTTGCTGTTGTTCTGCAGCCTTATTTAGAGAAGGCCGTACCTCCAACACTTCCTGTGAGTCTCACACACAAATAAACATTTACACCACCATTCACGTGTTGCCTTTTGTTTGCACTAACAATACTTATTTGTGATTATTTTGTTTGTACTTCAGGACGGGACGATTGACTTGAGTTTCTTCACGGCAGATTGTTTCCACTTCACTGTTAAAGGACATGAAGAGCTGGCTAAGGGACTGTGGAACAACATGGTGAGGTTTTATTAGTTTGATTATGTTTAGATAACTGTTGTGGTGCTTTTTTTTTCAAAGACTGCAGCCAAAAATACCATATGTTATTTATTTGTATATTTATTAAGTATCAAACAGATATTTTTAGTAACTATTTATATTTAAACATTGTAGCTTTTCTTTATTAAATAATCCTTAAAAATGTATTTTAACATTCTGGTAAAGTGCATTTAAGTGATGACCCTGATTATTGCTACTATCTCTGCTTTATCACTGCTTTTATGGATGTGTTCTTATTTATGTACTGCAGTGAGAGATGCCAACTGAATTTGGTTACTCCGATGTGTGATGACAATAAAGATATTCTATTCTATTTTAGTTGGCTAAAAGTGAAATACAGACTAATATATATCTGTATTAGTAGTTTTCATAAAAAACAGCTGATTTGGGTTTGGAACAGATACAAAATACTGTGTATTCCTAAAATTATAGAAGCGTGCCATCACTGTATTCATGCTGAGAGAAATTGCTCTTTTTTCTGATTCTCCAAATGTAAACACAATTCTTCCTCAGTTCCAGGCTAACGGAGAGAAAGATAAAATAAAGAGTTTTTCAGAGCCAATAAAACTCATCTGCCCAACAAAGGTACAAAAGAACTGTCATTTTGTATCTTTAAGTATTTGTGTTTGTTTATAAGATAATCAGTATTTTTCCTTTTCTCCAGGAGCATCCTTACATCTACACCAGACCTCGAGTCGTGTCGTCTGCACCGAAGCATTCCTCAGTGGTGCTGACGATGTTTCTGATCTGTGGGTTTCATTATCTGTAGTTCAACAGGCACAGAAACCAATCCTAAAACAATCTCAGGGAACTATGTGTAAACGATGTTGTAATAAAAAAAAAAATGGTGGGTTAAGCATGGGGTTAAGTAAAAAAATATATTAAAGAAATACAAATTATGTTTTTGGAACAGAATAAAAAATAGGCAAATTAATGAGTTTTGTTCACACAAAAATAAAATAATTAAATGAATGTAAAGAATAAAACTAAAATATTTTTTTATGAAAACCAATAATAAATGTGTATTTGCTGATTCAAAATAAATAAACTCATAACTTAAATTAAAACTTGTTCCCCTTGTTGTTAATAGATACTATAGAATAACAAAATAAATATTTTAACCTGCAGCTTTTTCTTGAAAATCCATAACCATTAAATATTTTCTGGTTTTATCATTGAACTGATTTTTTGGGACCATGTGTTATTATGTCGACACAGAAGTAAATGTATAAAATGTAACATTTCCACATTAAAATATGTATATATATGACTTGGTCTATTTTATACATGCTGACTTTGTCACACACTTGTACACTTACTGTACCTTTACACAAACTCCTCAGAAACGTCAATGCATACACAGTCAAATACAACATACATACAACATATGTTGTGTAAATCGTCTCCAAAGTAACATACACCAAGCTTTATAGTGTAATTCCTTTCTATATTCTGAAGGTTTTTACACAAATGTGTTCATATGTCATTTATAGCTTGATTTACATATTATTTCACATTTAAAAAAAAGTTAACATGATTTGTATGGCTGTTAACAGTATTTTCTGGTTTAAGAAAATGACAACATTTGTAATAAAATATATAAAAAAGAATTGTCTTAATGTCAGTAATCAACTAGGAAAAGTTTCATAGTGGTGTCTAAGGAGGTAAATAAGCTTCAGTCAGTCAGCTAGTCAACATGTCCATAATTAACCCCACATTGCTTCTGCAGGCATCTCTAGGGTATAAATATCATAGAGATATACTGTACATTAATCCATGTGTGTTGCAGTACCTGCGCGTGCCCTCGGGGGCAGCAGAGTCACTGTTTACAGCAGACAGCAGCTGGATGCACGAGCTCTTCTCTGCTGGGAGCGTGGAGCTGAAAGCAGAGAGAGAGACAGCGAGGAGGTCGCTGTGGGAGTTTGTTTTTTAAAGAAAAGTGACAGAAAACTCGCAGGCAAACTAAACCACATCGTGTCGTCTTCATGGTGGCTGACCAGAGACTCTGAGGTAACTACTTGTTGATGTTAAAACTGTGGATTTAAAGCTGAAATAGAGACATTTAATCTCGCTGATTTGGTGCATGGTTAGCTAGCTGGCTAACTGTTAGCTTTAGGAGCTACTTTCGGCTAGCTGGCTAACTGTTAGCTTCAGAAGCTACTGCTTGCTGGCTAACGAGGTCCAGCCCTAAGAGTTATTTACCCCAAGTTGTGGATGTGGTCTCCCCCTACGCTTCTCACGGGATTCTCTGGGATAAAAGAGCAAGGACTAAATCTTCACACTGGATTTAACACTGTGTACTGTTAGGAGACTAGCAGGATGTCCACAGAGGTTGAGTGCAGTCTGGTCGGATCGGCTGGTTTGACAGCGGCCAGCTCCGAGGAGAAGAACCAAAACAAGATCGAGGCAGAGGCTCAGGAGGAGCAGCATGGAGAAAAGCAGACGGAGAAGCAGCTAGACGACCACAGCAGCACCGAGGCTGACACGCACAAGAAATGCAAAGAAAACGACAAAGAAAATGACCAAAGCAGCACCGCTGACTCGGCTGTGGAGGCGGTGAAGAGCAAAGTTGTGGAAGCTCCGCCGCCGAAAGTCAACCCGTGGACTAAGAGGACAACGGGCAGGGTCCCGAGCAATAACATCAACAACTCCCAGGAGAAAGGTGAGATGCTTTTTTATAATGTCTACACCGGTCTACACATGTGATCAAAGTGATTTAACTGTGACAATATGATTACTACTAACGGCAGTAGTGTGAGCACGTTGTTGCAGCATTTTGACAGCTCCCCCCTGCACAGAAATCCTTATCATACCTCACTTAAGCTTTTTTTTTTTAAAGGGTTGAATGAAGTGTGTAAACTTGAATGTCAAGAGGTGTTTATGGTAGCATATTTCCCCCATCCCCTCCCCTCCCCCCTGTACTCGGATTGCCCCGCAGCACCACGTGTTCATTGCCGACCACTTCTTTTAATTTAGCTCCCAATGTATTGCTCTCACACTGATCCCCTATTGTTGGTTAAATGCATCACATGGGGAGGAATACAATGAGTCCAAAAGCAGCCTAATGTGTGTGCTGTCTCTGGGTAATAAAGGGGAAAAGCTAAGACAGCCATGGCTAGCTGCTGCTGCTGTAAAGACACGTTTTGCATGTCCAATGGCCTGGCTGCCTGCAGTTCCTCCCACCAGCCTCCTGCTCCACTGTCACTGCTGGAAGCATGTGAGCAAGGTGTTGGGCAGGTGGAGAGTTAAAGAAGTAGGTGAGGGTTAAGACTAATGATTTTACTTCGGATTAGTCTACTTAGTATGTCTGTAATGAATCATTAACTCATGAATTGAAGGAAATTGGAAATTAAATGGCCCTGAAAAGTGTCCACATTTGTTACTGAGAAGGGTTTTAAAAATGTCAAAATTGGTTGCCAATTATTTTTCTCTCTATGAACTAATTGATTAGCCAACCAACTGTTGCAACAGTAATGTGAAATACTTGAAACTTTCATCAGCAATATATACAACCACCAGTAAAAAACAAAACAAAGATAATCACTCTACAATAATATGTTCATTCAGTTTCATTGTTAAACTTGATCCAGTGAATGCTGTGGTTTTCAACTAATGGATTGTCAAAAATAGTTACTGCTAAAAGCAACTGATCAAACTACATTTTGGATATGTATGGATTCCACTATTACAGTATTAGTCTTTTAACTGATGTATTAAAACAAACATAAAGGGTTACTTTAATGTTTACACATACAGTTTGTCATAAAAGGTGTATGTACTATGTCATTAGGGTTATCTAGAGTTCAACACAAGCAATTAAATTTCTAACAAACCGTATTTGTTACAAACTGGAATTTGGGGACCGACTTGATGTTTTTCAGCCAGGGAGGATGTAATGGAAGGCACTGTTGCATTGTGGGAAATGTAGTATGTAGTGTCTTTTTTCCACTCCTGGGCCCCCTGCTAATCTTAATTTTTTGTTGTTTTACATTCTTACAAGCCCAGTTGAATATTATGAAAGTTAAATACTAAAATGTTTGATTAGCCTTCTAATAATTGAATATTTAATATCAGAATTTTTATTAATTTTCTTTCAGAATATAAGCTGAGAAAAATGTAGTTAACTGAAACTAACTAATGATTTCCTTTGAGAAAAAACCGAAACTATATAACGAAAGTAAGAAGTGAAAATGTACTAGAATTAAAAACTGAAACAAAATGATCTGGTGACTAACTAAAAATAAAACATAAAAAGCAACGTCAACTTAGTTTAAGTTTTTTAAGAATAATATATCTCAATAAAATGAATTAGCGAGTGTGCTAGTAAAAGAGTCCTTACGTTGACTCCCAAAACAAAAGGTGTAAACATCGTGGTTATTCTTGCACAGTATTTTATTAGTTAAACACGTGTGTGACATTTTGTTTTTCCTTTACCAAAACTAAATACAAAAACTTCCTGAAAAGCAAAACTAGAAAAAAAACACACTAAAATGTAATGTCAAAATCAGCAGCTTGTTGCACTCAGACAGGCGCTCAGAGTTTGGGTTGTGAATGTATGTCAGAGCGTGGGGAGTCCATGGGAGCTAAATCTGACTCTGACGAGAGCACAGGCATCGTTTTACAAAAGTGTTACTGTGCAGCACAGAGGGCGGACCCCTGCATGCAGCCTCAGAACAAGCACACACCCATTCACGTGAATCCTCTGGCCTGCAGTGCTTATCAATCCTACCATCCTCCTGCTCAGCGATAGGGACTGTCAGGCTGCAGAGGGCCACTCCCAGCATGCAGCTGCCCGTGGAGACGCAGCCACATACCGCCTCTGGCTGCACTCAAAACACCCTCAACTAGTTCAGTGGCTTGGGGTTAGGGGAGGTTATTTTTCATTCTGCACTGACAGATATTCCAAAATGCTGCTCGGCAGACAGAGCATGAAAGAACAGCAGCAGAAGACTTCGTAACCCCAGTTGTGCAACCTTTCCAGGCTAGGGGTTGTTAAATACTGGTTTGTGAAGAAAAGGGGATTTAAAACCCCTTTTTGTTGTGTCAAGTATGTCACTTATATTTCTTGGTTCTGCAGATCAACAAAACGCTCTGAAAGTGGTCCGTCCCAGCAAGCCCAGAACGAGAAAATCCAGCAAGGTAAACGCTCTCTGCTTCATCTTTCAAATGTCTTTCAAATGTCCCCAATGTGGGGAGATTACATGTCTGAATCTTGATTAGAAATCCCAAAGCCACACTGTAAAATAAACACACACTCCCCACTTTGTGTTGTTGTTTAAAAGGATATTTCACCTCCAAAATGATCATCAGTGTATAAATCACTCGCCCTGTGTGACCTTGATTTCTTGAAAAAAGTTTGTATTCATCTCATTTCCTCTACAGTTAACAAAGAAAAAGAAAACAATTAATTAATTACAGTAAATATTGACTGATTTTAAGAATAGAAAAACGACATCAAAATATATTTACAGGCGTGAGTAATTGCTATACACATGTTTATTTTGAAAGTAAGTATTCCTAATGTCTCTGCGTTTTAAATAGACGGTGAAACAAAATGAATATCCCTTTAAGTGATGGATACACATGCAAATAAACAATCCTGTGTGCTAGGGTTTCATGTTGCATCTCTTTGTTTTCTGCCAGCCGCTGACATGAAGGATTTGAAACACTAGCTGGTATAAAGTTGGCTGTTTTGTTGCTTTTACAACCAGTTTTTCCACTGCAGGGGATTTAAATGAATGGGTTGAGGAAAAAAAGTATTATTGTTATGTCAAGATTTAAATGAACACAGGTAATGGTGAATTTAAAAAAGGGACATCAGCTTTGTCTCTTTTTAATTTGACAGATCAAATACTTATAGTTACCTTTTTTTATATATTTTGTATTATCAATTAATTGATTTGGCTACAACAGGACCCACTAATTCTGCAAATTTGCACTGATGCATCTTTCTTGTTGTTGACATTTTCAAAGTTGACCAAATGTCAAAGATGACAGCTTTATTTAGGCTTCACTTTACCCACATACTTTTAGGACCAACCTGTTTGTTTAACACTAGAACCGCCAACGGGTCAATTTTACCCGCAGCTGTTTTTTGATTGTATGTAACTTTTGTTCAATAACATTTAAAGAAACAAGTTAAAATACACTATAATATACCAAAATACACAGAACGAAATGTAAAAATAGAACATGTTTTCAAAGTATTTTAGTTTAGTTTCTATTGTAATTTAAATGCAACTGCAGTATATTTTGTATCATATTGACAGATTGTTGCTAAAACGCAGCCCTTCTTGTGGTGCAGTTTCACTGTAACCCTCGTCACTCTAACCTTGATCCCATATCAGGCTGTCCAAATGTACCACATTCACAGAGGTGGAAACTCGACCTGTTTATCGTAGTTGTTTGCAGTTTCCCGACAGACGGAGCACTGACCTCCTTTTCCCCACGCTGGTTTCTACGAGAAACACATTCAGGCTCCACCTCACGCACACACACAATGTTAAAAAAACAATCAAAATCGATAAATGTGACAGGGTTCAAAATTAATTCATTGTTGTTAATGTGTTTTTTCTTTCTTTTTCTTAACAGTCGGGTGACTTCAGCGACATCACAAACTGGCCCACTCCTGGTGAACTGGCCAAAGAGGTGAGGCGAGTGTGTGTTGTTGGTGTGTGTGTGTGTCTGACGTTAGTTTAATCAAATATATTAAAGGCAACCACTCGTGCTTGTTTTCCGCTGGTTGCAGCTTATCTGATTTCTGCTCACTAGATGGAGCACTGCAACCATAAGTCTTTGTTTAGGATTTGGTACAACAGTTTTTATTTTTAAGTTTCTAAAAAGGCCACATTTTGGAAGTTACGTGCTTGATATCACATAAAGCAAAAAAAAGCCTTTCAAGTATCTTGTATAAATAAAACAGTCGAGTCTTCAGAAATCTACACCAATTCACTGAATTCTTTTTTTTTTTATAAAGAAAATGTGATATCAAAATATCCAAAGTCTCAGATCAGGATATTGATATAAGTACTTATTGCCCAGCCCCACATGATGTCTCCAAATATGATCTTCCAGCAACAACAAAATGTGCTCAACAACGGGAAGAAGTCTCCCGCCACACGCAAGGGGGAGAAGGAGACAAAGTCGGAGAGCGGCCATGACGGTGGGGAGAGTAAAGAGAACCAGGAGGCTCAGCCCGACGCGCTCGCTGAGCTGCCCAAAGACGCAGAGTCCAAAGTGGGACCGGACGCCAAGAGCAGCAGCCTGAAGAAGAGAGGAGGGGAAGGTGAGCAGAGTTTTCTACCTGACCTTGATCAACAGCATCTTTTTTTTTATGAATAAAGATGATTTTGGTAGCTTCAAATCAACGCACATTTCATCTCTGACCTGTGAAATCATTCATCTCCAGAATTTCAACTTTTAGATGAATAAAAGAGTCTTAAAGTGTTAAGGTTTTAAATGTTGCCTTACATTTCACAAGGGCTGCATCCAAAGATAGTTTTAGGTATTAAATAACGGTTTGATCTTTAAAATATTAATAAAAAGTGAACACGTTTTCACCCTAGTTCTACAAAGTCTAGGTTTAGGACTTACAATGTCCTGATTTAAGAGTGTAAAAAATATATATATTTGTATTCATTTAAAAAGAAAAATAACGACATTTCCATATTTTAGATGCAAAAATATTAATTTCCTGCCGTTTTTGCTTTAAAAATACATGGACAATTGATCAATTATCAAAATAGTTGTCTTTTATATCCCTGTTGATCTAGTTTATGACTAACAGACTAATGTTGCAGCTCTAGAGTCTTTATTAGGAGATGAACGTTTTCCCTGGACAGAGATGACCTGCACTGATCGCTGCGCAGGTTGAAACTGTTTTGATCGAATTGGTTGGTGCATGGTTTCTGGTGATTATCTCATGTGTTGCACTTTCGCATCTGATTCGCTTCCAGCTTTTTTAAATAGACATTTAAACAAAATAACAGGTAACGACCTTTATTGAGGCGAATAAACGACACACCATTTATGAGCTCCACAGTATCTCTAACCACACAGGAAGTGAAGAGTTCATCCACAGTAGATTCCCACAGGATTTTAAATTCTTAAAACTCAGTTTTTGTGTGTCAAACCACTTAACCTCAATTTGAGCAAATCCACCCAAAACATTTCCAAATTAAATATCTTGTTTAATACTGAAGACAAAGCGTATACATTTTTGGTTGTGATTAGTTAGTTGTCATTTAATTTACTCCTTGGATTTGTTTTGTACAGATATTTTTATAGAGTTTTCTTGTTGGCAGTTTTTGTTAACTTTGGACAGAGCACCAAGCTACCTGTTTCCCTCTGTTTCTAGTCATTATGCTAAGCTAACCACAGAGAGGCTGAAAATGGTAAATAAGGACTTTTTCAGTCACTTAAAGGCTTTTGGGTTCAATGTCGAGGTGAAAGGAAGCTGTTAGTGGTGGTCTAATGGATAGTGAGGTGGGCTGAAGATCGGAAGGTTGTGAGTTCAAATCCCGCCTGGAACACCACCACCAGCGTTTCCGCCAGGGGGGTGTCTTGCCGTTATTTGACGCCCTTATTCAGCTCGGGACGCCCTGAACGCGAGCCGAGGGCGTCCAAAAATATTAATAATTCGAGAGAAAATCGAGAGTTTTTATCGCTTGAAATAACGAAAAAGGACAAGGACACCCCTCTGTTGGAGGGGCAAAGGAGTCTGGTGGGATTATTTTCGGAGTATTGAGGATCGTTTCCCCGACATCGGCGGTGCCTGCCACAGGACAACACGGAACGTGCGCGATTTGGACGCGATGAGCGGTGCTAGTGGAGTACGCGCGTGAGCTGCGAGCACCAGAGCCTCGCAGCGGCGAATCTGAGGCTCCATGGTAAACTGTGGTAACACGAAGAGCCGTTTGGGAGCCGAAACAGCCGGCGCTTTAAGAGAGCCGAGNTGGGGGGGCGCTCCCCCCGAACTTAAACTGAACTCGTCAGGCAATATCTGGGGGGTGCCCTCTCAGCCCTGGTCTGGCGGAAACACTGACCACCACTAGTGTGCCCTTGAGTAAGGCACTTAGCCCTTAGTTACTCCAGGGAGAATGTCCCTATAACTGGTCATTGTAAGTCGCTTGGATAAAAGCGTGAGCTAAATGTAGTGTAATGCTACAGTCAGGAACTTACGCTGAAGTTTAGTAACCAGCGTATCTTTATTGTAGAGACACAGATTGATGATTTCATTTGTTCCAAACTGGGTTTACAGCATCATTTTTTGGAACAAATAGTGGACATTTTCATCCTAGTTTCACAAAGTCCAAGTTTATGTCTTTAATTGTTGTTTTGTAAGTTTAATACCTAAATATATTCACTTTAATATGATATTAAACAGAGAAAAGAAGGCGTTTCCATATTTTAAGAGGCTGAATACAGAAAACATTTCCTTCTAAAAGTCGTTCATAGGGTTTCGAGTTGTATGTCAAGGTGAATGTTTAGAGGCTGCTACAGATAGAAAGTGTTATTTTATTTTAGAGACACTTTTAATTTGTTCCAAACTGGGTTTCCAGCGTTGTTTATTTGGAAACAAAGCTCTTCACGCTCTCTGTTTCCGGTGTGCAATCATCGCCAGGTAACAAACGTAAGTGGGTGTCTCTGCCGCTGGAGGACGCGTCCCGGGACGACGGCGAGAAGACGTCCGGCGGCGACACGGAGACCGACTCCGCCGACCCCACATCGCCCAATCACACACTCCATAATAACAAGGCGCATGATAGCAACAGGAGTAAGTGGCAATGCAAGCTCGGCAGTTTTCTGTCCCCGCCTTCTCTCTCTCTCTCTGTTTGCTCCACTTTGTGTTTGCTCACCTTCTCTCCCCCACTATCTGTTTGTCTGCATGCTTTTAGTCGATACTAATGCTAAGCAGGGTGAAAGTATGGAATAATTATTAAGCTGTGTGCAAATTGAATGTTCTTCTAACCAAATAAAAATCTTTAATATGTTTTTCTATCTATGAATTGACCAATTGATCAATGAAATGTTTGTTGAGCACATTATTACAGTTCAATGAGCTTCACAGGTGACCGACGAGCCGAGAATAAGACAGACAAAAACAACTCGCAATTTTCGACCAATGCCCGTGAGAAATTACAATTGATAATTAAAATCTAGAATAAAACTAATGGCAGTCAAACAGTTTCAAATAAAATGTTGATTAATATAATAATCAAACATTTTATATATAATTTTTTTTACTATTTAATCAAAATACTTAATAAAATGTTACAATAAAGTAATGTGAAAATGAAAACGCAAAGCATACATTTTTAAAACGTAATAAAATAAAATCACTGAATAAAGTAAGTTTAAAATATATTTTTTACTATTTTGTTTAATTTTTGTTGCAGAGACAAGTTTCAAAGCCAGTTTGACCTCAGCCTACATTACACATATGAGTTTGTCACTATTATGGCAGGAAAAGAGAAGATAAACGGGTCACATAACGCACGATATCATATGATTTCTGTAAGTAAGATAATATTTTACACTATCTTTACCTCGTGCCTGAGATCTTAGCTAATTGAGTCGGTGCAAAGGAACATTTCTGATGGTCACAGAAGTTCTAAATAAACTCTTATTTTACTATTGTTTGGTATTGAAAAATAAATTAAATGTCCTTTTATATAAAATACAAATCCACATAAGAAATACAAGCTTAGATGCCAAGTAAAACCTGAATAAGACATTAGATAATTCCCCCTGTGATCACCAGTACTGTAACTGCATTCAGAATTAAGTTTATTAATTGATAAGTCAATCCAGCGGACAAGAACCAACAAGAATTTACTCTTTTTCAAATGTAAGGATTATATCTTGTATTATATTTGCATAAATGTATTGCCCCTTTTTGTTTTGAAGCTCAACTGGAACTCTAAGAATTTAAACCCAAACAATTATTGAACGTATAATAAAACATGATTTTTTTTCATGGATTATTTCGAACCACTCCATGAAAACATTTGTGAGATTTGACACCAAGCTTTTATTTTATGATTCTTCAGGTTGGAGAAGAGAGCCGCGGGACTTTGCGGACGATGCTTCCAGCGTGCGGAGCGACAGCGGCAGCGTCCGTGGAGGAGTACGAGGACGAGGGAAAGGTCGTGGGCGTGGGAGAGGACGTGGAAGTGGAAGAGGTACGACTTTTTATACCAGATAAATCCATTCACACAGAAAACATAAGAGAAAAATCTTAAAGGTCGCCTATTATGCAAAATCCACTTTTTCATGTCTCTTCTACATAAACATGTGTCCCCTCTGTGGAAAGAGATTCTGAAAGTTTCAGGAAAAAATATTCTCTCTCTTTTTGTCCTGATCCATTTATATAAAAACCTGTCTGAAAATGAGCTCATCAGATTTTGGCCACTTTATGATGTCATAACGATTTTTTGGCCTGTGTAACCATTAGCCAATCAGCAACCAAGGTAAGGGGGCTCCTAATTTTCAGACAGTTAAAGTAACAGACAGAGAATCAGCACTTTGGAAACAGGGCTGAAACAGAGGGGATTATGGGATGCGGCAATGACCTGTTTGGAGCCAAACACTTCAGAGACATGTTTTGTATATATCTGAGACCTATAATATATTGATGAAAAACAGTATAATAGGGGACCTTTTTAATGCAAGTTTTGCTTTACTTTTTTAAAAACAGTTGGTTTAATTTCCAAAACATACTTTTATCCTTTTGCCTTAAAACTAAACGCTCCCAAAAAGATATGCTAGTGTCTTTGCCAATAGTTTTCCTTCATGTTCTTTACCAGGAAACAACATTTCAGTTATAATTTCTCATATATCTTCTGTTTCTCCTGCTCTCTCAGGCCGTTATGAATACTCTCAGAGTGCCCGGGACACGCTGTCGTCCGACGGCTCGGTCCAGGTCTCCTCAGAGTTCGGCTCCAGCATGGTTTACTACTACGACGACGGCAACAAGGTCCAGATGTACCCAGTGGACCAAAAGCTTCTTAAAGATTACATCAAACGCCAAATGTGAGTAGATGACGAATACAGTAAACAACAACCTACATACATACAACTTCCACGAGGGGCAACATTCATACCCTAATATAAATAATAGTTTTCCTTGCCCACAACTTATAAAACGTCCAAGGTTTATATTAGACCAATTAAACAACCATTTGTTGTAATGAGACATTTATATAATGAATTATTGCTGCAGCTGGAGGGAAAGAGGGTAACCTGTTAAGCCCCATTCCCCCGCGGGCGGGGGGAAAATCGCAACATCTGCAAGAAACGGCGTCTGAGGGCTTCTTAACATTTCAAAACCTATTAATGTGTCATACCCACTTAACGGGAAGAAACTCAGCTATCAGACAATATTAACAATTTTTAGCATAACGAAAAATAAGGGTAATAACAAAGGCTCTGAATTAGCCCTGAGCGAACAAATGCTAACACACTTAGCACAGAACTCACGTTACCTGAAAAGCAGGCTTGGGGCTTAACAGGTTAAAACTATTGAGAGTGGGACAATCCCGTATCTCAGTTGGGAGGCTTTCCACCATTAGCTGCCTTTTTTAGTGGAGAGTACATTTTGTCCAAAAGTGGTCCGTCTATGATGGACTTCACAGTCTCCTCTGTCATTACTGATTTACTTCACCCTGGACATTTTTCAGTCATTATTAAGCAAAATAGTAATGGAGAAAATAATTGGCATATTAATGGTTTATATACTAATAAAATGCCTGTGGCGGCACTCATTTCAGTTGTAAATAAAATAGTGAACGGCTGAAATGCGTCACTTAGTAGTTCACGTGGTATTTTTGCGGCTGTGGGGAAAACATGGCAGAAAAGGTCAAAGTGGAAAGTGTTCAAAGTTAAGTTTTAACCAGCAGATGTGAGATTGTGGGTGTAGCAGCAGGTGAGAGTGACAGAGTGACTGATAAGTAAACACACCCTCTATAGGGCGTGAAGTTCCTCCGTTTGTCCTGCAGGGGGCGCCGTGCCCTCTGCTCTGACTAACAGGCTGGCCTCATTTCAGCAGCAGAGTGGTGAGGTAGACTCCTAAATATAGTCTGAGTGCTTCGAAAGGGAAAGGGGATGAATAATGTGCAGGGCTGAGCGGAGAAGTGTAAAAAAAGAAGAAGAAAATACAGTGAGGGGGAGGGGGGGGAGGATATTCTTGTCTACTCCTCTCTCGTCTCCCTCAGCGTTATTCAGGCTGCTCACTCAGCCAGCACTACTCCACCAAACAACCACCGCCTTCAGGCCACGTACGGACAGAGTGTGTGTGGGAGTGTGTGTGTGTGTGTGTGGTGACTTTAAGAGGGGTAACTGGGATAGCCGGAGAGCTCTTCCAACCACAGTCTTGGTTTGCCTGCCAGAAGAGTATACATTTATTGTGGCCTACATGAACACTTACAGAACTTAAACTACTTTTGTTAACATAAAATATAGATATGTTTAATGTACAATATATAAGTATATTAGAAAAGCAGCCATCCTCAAAAATAAGAAGATAAAAACCAGAAAATGTTTGATATATCTTCCTAATTTAAAGGGGACCTATCATGCAAAATGCACTTTTTGATGTCTTTTATACATAAAGATGTGTCCCCGGTGTGTCAAGGAACTCACGCAGCGTCAGAAAATAAAACCCTCTCTTTTCCTCAGTACCCAAATCTCTAAAAACGGTGCTACAACAGAGCTGATCTAGATTTGCGTCCGATATGACGTCATATCGGAAATGTGGACCCACGGCCCTATCAGAAACATTGCTATCAGAAACAATGCCCGACTGTTTTGGACGTAATATGGTTGGTGTTTACATTAGCATCGCTAACACTCAGAGCTAACCTGTACTGGAGAGCATGTGTGTGAAGAAGCAGGAAATGAAAAGGAACTCACCTTGTGGTATAACCGGCAAGAGAGAAAGCCTTTGAGCTCCATACTGTTTCAGAGATAATCCTTGATAATCCATGATATGGCGTTTCATCACGGCAGTATTTAGTTTAGACAGTAGCTGCCGGGTCCCGCATGAGCTCAGACCCCTCCTTTTTTTTTTTACTTTTTTTTTTTTCTTTAAAGCTTTTTACCCCGA